GGGGGGGGGGGGGGGGGGGGGCTAACCCCCAGTCCTTGCCAAGTACGCATGTGTCAGAATAGGACGGGCAAGACGCCAAAGAAAAAAAAAAACTGGTCTCGTGCGGGGAGCGAACGAGGCGCACGGAAGGGAGAAAGAAAAACAAAACATTCCTCCATTACAGGCAACGAACCACCAGTACCAATACCAAACATCTCGACCCAGGGGTGCGCCAACAAAAGCGAACATGCACCGTAAGGTCGTCGTCCGGCATGCCTCCGTCCCCGCCTCGCCTAAACGAGCCGCCGCCCTCGTGGAGATAGTCCCCGCGTCCTCGTCTTCTGCCGCCGCCGCCATCACCCACCCGCTGCAGCTCCTCCACGCCGCTTCTCCCCCTCATGAAGGTCTCCGCCGCCGTTGCTCCGCCGAGATGCGACAACATATCGCCGCCGCCGCCGCCGCCGCCGCTGCCGCTGCCTTCGGGCCCTCCCCCAACGCATCCATCGTACATCCTGGGTCCCAGCTTGGGCTTGATCTCGCCCCTGCCGCCATATGCGGCGGCGGCCGCATCCGAAGCTGCCGTAAAGAAGGCACCGTTTTTATCCCCGTTGTCACCGCGGGCAGCCGGCCGGCGGCCCCTTTCCCTGGCACTTCCACTCCCCGCTGGAGAGGAGGCGCCGCAGCCGCCGCCGCTACCGGACGCTGCTGCCTCCTCTGCGTCGGCGCCACCACCGGACCCCAGTGCGCCTCTTCGCCTCACACAATCCGCCGCGGTCTCTCCTCCGCCTCCGTCCGCGGACAAAAGGGACACCCCCCCGCCGTTGCCTGATGCACGGCCCCCCCTACTCGTGGGACCCGGGCTCACCTCACCACCCCCGGCCTTAGACAACTTTCGCTTCACTCCCTCTCTCGATGCAGATGATGCGTCGTCCTCTCCCCCCGGCGACCAGTCCAGTAAGTCCGGTTGCCGGAAAGCGGAGGCCTGGCTCTGCGCCGCCGCCTTCGCCTTCGCCTTCGCCGTTGCCGTTGCCGTTGCCGTTGCCGTTGCCGTTGCCGTTGCCGCGGCTCTACCCGAGCTCCTGCCTTTTCCGGATGCCTTCGAGCCGCCCTTGGCGCCCCGGGAAGTTTTCTGCCGTTTCGCCGATGCCCTCGCCGGAGCCGATTCCGATCCCGCCTCGTGATTCGCTGTGCGGCGTACGGTCTGCATAAATTGTTTTTTGGCGAGTGGGTCGGTTTGTTTGGCAAGCGGATGGTGTGTGGTAGGACTTTTTCACCGTGCGTGTGGGCATCTTCAGCAAGAAGGAGTTTTCAGAGGGCAGCAGCCAGCAAAACACACACCCTCCACATATCTACAAAGGACGGAAAAAAAACGGCACCGCGAGACCACTGCTGTTGGACTGTTAATTGCGCCGCACCTTCGACGTGAGCCACTGCTCCAGGTGCATCGCACAGAACCGGCTCTTCTTCTCGGGAGTTTCGTACACTCGCATTTCCTGAGAAATGCATTTCAACAAACCATGCAGCGAAACGCCCGCGATATCGTTGGCAGCGGAGACGAGAGAGAGTGAGAGCGAGAGAGAGAGAGAGAGCGAGAGAGAGAGAGAGAGCGACAGCCCGACACATGCCGGCGGAGGAGGGGTGTTTGCGCGTGAGAGGACGGGTTCAAACAAGGTTTTCAGCAGCAGTGTTGAACTAGGTAGTGGCGATTTTAACCGGGGAGGGAGGGGGGCATTCTTTCTGCTCCCATTGGTGACTTGCTCAAGGAATGTGCCCCTGTTAGGGGTGTCAAAGCAGCAACTTTCCTTAAGGAAAAAAAAATGAAAGTGACCTCGTATCTTCCTGATGGGAAATCGACTGACCAATAATATTGCACGGAACGGTCCGAAAGCTCCCTTACAACACCTGACGCGCACGCGCGAGGGCGCGCCGCTCGTGTGTGTGCTCTGATGTGCCCTGCTGTGGGACACAACACAACACCATTGCGCGGTCCCACTCTAGAACACATGCCTCATGACACACCCGAGCAGCAGCCGGGCGGTGAAGCCACGCAGACACCTGCCGCCGCCGCTGCTGAAAAAAACAGCAGCAGCAGCAGCGGCGGCGGCGGCGGCGGCGGCGGCAGCGAGGTTGAGCCTGGCTCTCTTCCACAACTTTCTTACTTTTGACCAACTCCTCCTTCGTTTCCTCCAGCTTTCTCTCTACGACGGTGAGGCTGCCGCGTTCGATAGCGCGCCGCGTGTTCTCTTCTGCTGATGCGGCAACCATACACTGCCCCGTCCTCTTTTCAAACTTCGTTTTGTTTTGATTCAGCTTTCGCGCAGCGCGCCTCCTGCTACCGAACGGCGCGGACCTCGATTTTTTTTTGGGGAGGGTCTGCTGGTGTGGGCGCTGCAGCCCCACTGGAGGGGCCGTCTTCAGACATGTAGATCTCGTGGTTGGCTGATGCGATTCGGATGCGGTTTGTTGTTTGGTATAGCTGTAAACCCAAGGTAGAGGGCTGTAAACTCACTTTTTCGAGAGGAGCAAAGGTCGCCTTGGGCGTGGAGCAAAGAGCTCAAACAAACATGTTTTTTGGTGTTGTTCGTCCGCCCTTAAACTTTAAGATAAAACTGAGCTCACAGTCGCCTCTATTGTACTTGTGTCCAGGTGTGTGTATCGTATGAAGCGCCACGCTGCTGCCTAGGCGCAGAACTGCCTGCACAACAAACTGAGTGATGAAGTGTTTAATCAGTATCATAGGCGGGCACTCCCAAGAGCCGAAAAAGAACCCAATCCGTGTGCCCCCCCCCAAAATCGCTGAATAGACCGGTCACACTTTTGGCTCCAAAATCTGCCCGATTGACACCCCTAACTGTACGTGCGCAAGCGACACGATGGAAACCCTGCGTCATTATCCCCGTACACAAAACGGCATTTGGCACCACGTCATGCCATGTACTACAGCCGGGGACAAGGCGGCGGACGTGCTACTGAAAAACATTCATACGAATGCATGCACATGTACGACTCACACACATCAAACGCCATCATTACTATCAACAAAAACGACTGCAACTATTTCAACAAGATCGAACAAGGTCAGCAACAAAACGCTCCTCTCAATTGTGTCACCAACAACAAAGAGGTCGTGGGTATTTTTCGCTTCGCTTACCCTGCAGCCAGTCTTGTGACAGCGCTTGTGCTTCACGTCGACCATTCCGGGCTCCTTGTGGGAGGCGCAGAACCTGGCCTTGTCCCCCTCGAAGGCGTAGTGAGGGTGCTTGCTGCACCCCAGGAACTCGCACGGCCGACAGTGGACATCGACCTGAAAAAAACAAGAAAATGGGGGCGACAAGCAGGAGAGACAAGAGGGTGCGTCACGCACAAACTACGAAGTGCGTGCGTAGACTCACCTTCGTAAGGTCTGGTTTGGGATGTTGCAAAAGAAGGAGTACCACGCCATCTATGCAAATATACACGACAAATACGCACACACTCGGCGTCGCAGTTGATGGCATTAACAAGTGTTTCGTGTTTTCACCTGCATTGAGGCCGACGTCTTTCCAGTGGTCAGCCGGTCAGTGCGGTCGATGCAATAACAAAGACACACAAACTTGCCTACCCATACGCGTAGGTACATGTGGCGCAAATGATTTATGGTACGTACCATGTCCGGCCCCTTGTGCTTGGTGCAAAACCTGGCCCGCCCGTTCGCGATGCCGTACGTGGGATGCTTTTGGCAGTCTTCCGCTTCACAGCGCTTGTTGTGCACGTCCACCATTCCGGGCATCTTGTGACTCGAACAAAACTGCGCTTTTTCCCCAGGAAAAGCTGGAACAAAAAGAGGGGAGGCGGGACAGAGACAGCAGTTCACACGGCATGGGGGCGTCGTGAAAAGGCATGTAGGCGAAACGGTGCTTGTTGTGTGGCGAGAGGAGAGAAAGAGAATGAGGGACAGAAATGAGAGAGAGACAGACCGACAGAGACAGAGAGAAAGGTGATGATGATCATGAAGATTGCGCAGGGGTCATGCCAAGCCATTCCTCGGCAATGCGAGAGGAGACTCCACCCAGCATCCCAACGTGTTCTGCCAATGTACCTGCGCGTCAATGATTTGTGTCTGCGGATGAGTACATAAAAAAGAGCGGGGATTCTGCGGCGAAAAAGTCTCTCCCTGAGAGTACATCAAACGCGCTGTAACTCTGCGGTGAAAAGTCTTCTCTCCTTACAGCAGCAGTTTCTCTTTCATGTGGAATATTTCCTAGTCAAGAAGCATCCACACACACATGATGTCCCACACACACAAAATACCACAAGCTTACCTGGCACAGCACAGCGACGAATGCTCCTTTTCATGTCACACAAACACAGAGGTCTACATACAACCTACACGCATCATGCTCCAGAAAACATTCCGGAGGGCAAAAACGTGTGGAGGACTAACCCACCGCAGCGGCCTATTTCTTGCCTCCCCAGGCTGGGTCACCAAAGCACACACACACGTGAGGGAGAGGCGAATAACAATCACTTTGAATGTAGGCAAATTATGGTAAATTTGGAACCGGGCCCATACAGCAGTATGCATACGTATGCATGCATACATCAGGCAATTTTAATGTTGGACCGAAAAAACAAAAAAAAAAAATCCCTTGTTTTAGAGGGGTAGACCATTTAGAGCCCGGTAGATACCTATCCTCCTAACGATTACATGTCGAACATGCACACGTTGGACACATTGTTGGACCCCTACATATCTGGGAGGGCAGGCCTTTCCTTGTCCAAGGCGCACAATCACTGTGATTATTTGAAGCTCCACTTTTCCTCCTGCGGCGATGCCCGCCTGGCTTCGATACAGCACGGTAACAAGCCCAACAAAAAATGAGATACATTTCCATTTGTTTTTTTCTTTGGCCTCGAGAGTACACACACACCTTCATACATGTATTCCACCTTATGTATAGGAAGTGCGGGGGCCGGCAAAGGCCAGACCGGTTGCGGGGACGACGGCAGCGTCAACGCTGATAACAACCACAATTCCACAAGTGCAACAACCGCTCCCGCCGACTAAAACTGCTGCTGCTGCTGCTACGGCTGTGGAGGATTTCCCCGAGAGACTTTATTGTTTTTTTTGTGGCTTGGTGGTGCGGATGTACAATTCCGCAAGACCATTCCGTTGTACCATCGTGTGTATACATAGCAGATACCCTCAAACGGGCGCTCAAACGAAACCACAAGTCAACAACCGATGGGGCGGGAGGGGGGCAGGAGACGGACGAGGCGGCGAGGGAAGAAAGCAACGAGAAGAGACGGACCGAGTGGCGCGATACGTGCCGGATTGAATTTCTTTTGGCCAATCCCCCCGCCCCCAAACGCTCCACCATTGCACCAACCCCCCACTAGTGATGACGTACCATTACAATGTATCGCTGGTTGGTGACCATGTTTGCGTGTTTGCTTGTTCGTTAGTGGTCTCTCCACCGTGTGCCTTTTTCTGTCTCTTATTTCTTGTTATTGTCGGCCTGGTCCCTTTTTGTCCTCTCTCTCTTCCATTTTGTTTCTCTTTCTAGGCTGAGTCTTACGGCGTGATTAT